TACTCTGCTCTGCTAGAACTGCCTGCAGGTGTTTACAAAACCTATCAGGCAAACCGAATCCAAGCCTTCTCATTGCCTTTTGTGGGGGAGACTTATTAGTGTTGGTTTGTGCCTATCTTCGGTGACCTGCAGCTCACACTCTGGTCGAGCTTTGCTGGCGCTTACCGCCTTAAATCAGGCAGACCGAATCCAAGCCTCCTAATTGTTGCATTGTGGGGAAGCTTTACTGATGTTAATTCGTGCCTGTCTTCGGTGACCTGCGGCTAGCCGCCCAGGTACTCATCGCCTCACTAATCGGGCAGACCGAATCCAAGCCTTCTAATTGGCATGTTGAGGGGAGGCCTTATTTCTCTCTATTTCTCTATCTCCGGGCATTCCTATTTCTCCCATTTTACTTCTATCTTCCAGCATTCCTATTTCTCTCACTTTACTTCTAAAACTTCTGTTTCTCTTATCCCCGCAGCTTCCCGGCACCTCGCCCTGCCGGCAGCTTCACGGCTCCGCGCAGCTTCCCGGCGCCTCGCCCCGCCAGCGGGCTCCGCCCCGAGGCTGCTTCTCCGCGCCTCGCCGGCTCTGAGCCGCTTCAGCCCTCGCCTCATCTGCGCGGCTTCCCGGCTTTGCGCGGTCCGCGGTCTCCACGCTTAACCCTTTCGCGTCTGAACCACGGCCTACGCCAGCCCCGTTCCCTATCTACTCACGCCCCGTGCTCTCTCTGCACGCGGCGGCTTCCGCGAGTAACACAGCGTAGCTTGCGTCTCCACCACTAGGATTCAATCCAAGTTCCCCGGGCTAGCCTGGCGAATTCAACCCAGCGTACGTCTCCGCCCCACGATTTGGCTTCCCGTCCTTTGCTCCCCGGGCTAATCAGACGGATCCCAATCTGGCTTACGTCTCAGCTTCTGGTTTCAACTTTTCGCCCCCTATTCCCGGGCTAACCTGAGAATCCCAAAGTGGCTTTCGTTTCCGCCTCGGCCTGCCCCCCGCGGCTTCAATTTCCCTAACATTTTTCTCTACCCGGTATGTTTCCCCAAGCTTTCCTCCAACGATATTCCTCCCTCATTTCTCCTGGCCTCTCCCCACAGTCCGCGTCCGAGTCTGTTTGTTCTAGCTTTCACTTTCACTTTCGCCCTTAGAGATTTCTCCCAGCTTCCCCCCGTAGTCCGTATCCGAGTCTATGCCTAGGCTTTCAATAGCTTCTTCCGGCACCCTTTTCGTCCGGCTTTTCCCTAGGCTGTTTGCTAGTCTCTCTCTCCGGTATTTTCCCAATTCTTCCCGTTTCTTCCCTCTTAAGTTTGCTATCCGTCCTAGGTTTCCTATCCAAGCTAGGTTTCCTATCCGTCCTAGGTTTTCTATCCGAGTCACGGCACCATTCTGTCGCTCCCCCTCTTCGTGGAGGAACGACACTAAACCCTGCCTAGGCTTCATATCCGAGTCACGGCACCATTATGTCGCTCCCCCTCTTCGTGGAGGAGCAACACAGGACCCTGCGCTGTTCTTTCGTCTGCTCGGCCCTCCCCGGGTTTGCTGCTGGTTCTTCCCGGGTTGGCTACTATCCCTTCCACCTCCGTGGAAGGGCAGTTCCCCCTGGCCGCATTCCCCACTTCCGCAGGGGAGCGGCACACCGCCGGCCGGCTCTCTGGGGGCTGCACAGGTGTTCCCCTTAGATGTTTCCCATAGATGTTCCTGGTGCATGCCGTCTCTCTCCTCCTTTATAGTCCTTCTCTGCCAATCCCAACTCGGCTGCCCACACGCCGAGTACGCTGCTCTCCAATCAGGAGCAAGTCCTACAGTTAATTGGTTGAACTGGAGGCAGCTGTGCGGAAGCTGTTTACTTCTCTCCCAGCGCCATATTGTGGGAGAGCAGATGCATAGAATAAGTCCTAATTCGAGTAACTTAGTCTGGTCCGGATTGCTCCCCACACTATATAAAGAAAAGTGAAATATAAAATTGTTCACCTATGAAGTTTATCTCTGATTTCCAAATAAAATATATCAGAGGCTGTTTATGTAGTGTTGCTTTGAACATTACATGCCTTTCTGTTGGACAGTACCTAGGAAAAGAATTGCTGAGTCAAAAGAATATATATGTTCAGCTGTCATAGGAACAGTAACCACAAGTTTATCTTTCCATTTTAGAAAATCTGGTAAATGATGGAAATAACTTGCTTTTTTTTTTTAAGATTTATTTATTTATTTGAAAGGCAGAGTTAGAAAGATCTCCCATCTGCTGGTTCACTCCCCAAATGACCACAACAGCGGGGGCTGGGCCTGGCCAAACCAGGAGCCTGGCATTTCATCCAGGTCTCCCTGGTGGGTGGAAGGGGCCACTGTTTTTCCAGACATGTTAGCAGGGAGCTGAATCAGATCCGGGACTGGAATCAGCACCCACATGGAGAGGCAGGTGTTGCAGGCAGCAGCTTACCCGTTCACTGCACCACACCACCACCACTGGCCCCCCTTAACTTGTCATTTTAATTTGCATTTCCTTGATAAGTAAATTTGAAGGCCTTTTAATATATTTATTACTTAAATATCTTCTTTGGTGAAGTGCCTTGAAGATAATTTTTAATTATCAAGAAAAAACATTTTACCTTCCTAATAAGAACTCAAGCGTTGAAGATGATGATAATCCAGGGATCACACTTTGAGTGGCAAGGTTTTATTGTAGATGAGCTAGGTTAAAAGTATTTAAAACACCTAGAGTTCAAGATAAGTAGGAAAATTTCAGAAAAATAGAAAAGTGATTATAGCAACTTTGACTTTGATTATACATCCTATCAGACATATTCAATAGTGGAATAGTGGGTATTCATTTACCCAGCTTCTATAATTATCAACTCAGAATTAACCAATTTTTTTCCTCCTATACACCCATTTAACTCTCCACCCCTCTACTTTATTGCAATAATTATTTTGTCTTTATTTTGCAAATCAGAGATTGCAGAGTGTTACACCAATCCTTATATATAAACTTAAAAAAATTTTTAGTGTAGCGTTCCTACCTCTGAAAATGAATTTTACTCCTGCGCTGTGGCTCACTAGGCTAATCCTTCGCCTGCGGCGCCAGCACTCCGAGTTCTAGTCCCGGTCGGGGCGCTGGTTCTGTCCTGGTTGCTCCTCTTCCAGTCCAGCTCTCTGCTGTGGCCCAGGAAGGCAGTGGAGGATGGCCCAAGTGCTTGGGTCCTACACCCGCGTGGGAGACCAGGAGGGGGCTCCTGGCTCCTGGCTTCGGATCGGCCATTTGGGGGATGAACCAACGGAAGGAAGACCTTTTTCTGTCTTTCTCTCTTACTGTATAAATCTGCCTGTCAAAAAGTTTATTAAAAAAAAGAAAATGAATTTTAAGGAAACAGGATAAGTAAAAAGCTTTATAAATGAAGACATTTAGAATTATTGATGTTCATGAAAACCAGTTTAAAGCAAACTAAAATGTCAAAATAATAAAGCATAAATCAACCCAATAGAATATTATACAATAATTTTAAATAACTGTGTTGAAGTTTATGTCCTAACAGTAAAAGAAATTTTCAGGGACATCTAGCATAGTGGTTGAGATCATATCAGAATGCCTGGGTTTAGGTCTTGGCTCTCCTTCCTACTGATCCACACCCTAGGAGGCAGCAGTGAAGGCTTTAGAAGAGTCCCTACCACCAAGTTGGAGATGCAGATTGAATTCCCGGCTCCAGCTTCAGGCTGGCCCAGCCTTCTCTGTTGTAAGCATTTGGGAAGCAGATGAAAGCACCGTGTTCACTCTTTACTCTTGCTCACTAGCTTGCTTTCTCTCTCTCCTCCTGCCTTTCAAATAGATACAATAAATTTTTAAAATAAAATATAAGCTTAAAAGGCACCATTTTACATGTGGCTGTACATTTTATATGTACAGAACCATGATTTAAAAAGTTGTATCTTTTCTTTGCAAGTTGGAGTTACATTTATTTTACACTATGATGACAATTCAAGAATTTTTTTTTTTAATTTGAAATCTTAATTTCTATTCTCTGTACTTTCCAGCAGTACTTCCTAACTTTAGGATACCCATGGATAGTATGAGATTGCAGACACCCCCAGACTTTTTTCTTATCCTTAAAAAATAAGTTTTTTCTTTCTCTAACAGAAGAAATGTAGGTTTCTCTCTCACTGAAAGTTTGGCTTTTAGTTTTTATAAGTAAAAATTGTAATCTTGTTTATTATTCAGGGAAGCTGTTTATTGAGGGAATACCCAAAATTTTATTTATGTATATGAGAAGAGTGCCTGTTGTTTACTGAACAATTGAGGTGAAGGGAGGCAAGACAGTTTTCAATTAAATATATTTGTTTTGGTTATCTGTTTTATGTTTTTCAAAGCAGCCATTGTCAATTTCATCAAAGTAGAATTTCAGAGAAATGTTGATCTGTTTTAAAATATAATCCTACCCTCTAAAATTCCCTTACATTTTATTTTTTTGAGCTATTGAATTTCTGACATCTAAAACACAGTATCCTCATAATCTCAGAGAGAGGAATTTTTGTTATCTTCAGGAACAAGAGTGAAGCTGGACTAAAAACGCCATCTATTTTTTAATTACAAAAGCATCCCTTTATTAAAATGGACGTCTAATGTGCTGAAATATAACTTGTTTCCTTTGCCAATCATTGAGGTTTCACAGACTAAATTTTTAAGTGGTGCCAACTGCATTTTCTCTTTCAGGGTTTTATGTTTACATTGGACTAATTTAGAATTACTTTGTCCTCTTTGTCATATACCGTGTGTTATTTGTAATAAATTTTGTTCATAAGCTGTTGTACAAAAACAAGGTTTGTTCTTAATTGCAGGTATTTTCCCTTGCTAATTCATATTTGTTTATTTGAAAAAATTTAAACTTTTCAAAGAAAATCAAAAATACTTGTTTAGATTATTTATGTGTGGCTTATGTTTCAACATTTTGTGATACTTTATTGTGATAAGTTGTTGCTTTAAACTCATGACATTTTTAATTTTTTTCATTGTCCTGCAATTTCAGAGCATGTAACTTCTAATGCCAGCGATAGTGAAAGTAGTTACCGTAAGTGTTTTAAGTCATTTTTCTTTAATAGTCTCAAAGTAATAAATATCCTTTTGGGGGGCGTCCATATTGATATGCTCTAAAAAATGAAAATCAAATTTTAAAATCAAGATAACCAAGTAAAATTCTGTACTTGGAGAAAAAAAATCATACTACAGGTTTAAAATTCGTAATCTGCAAACCTGAAATCTTAAAGTGCTCTGTCTGGAATTTGCAGTGTAGCCCTCAAGAACTCATGGATTTTGGAAATAGTGTTTCAGATTAGGGATGCTCTACCTGTAAAATCTGTTGTAAATTAAAAAAAAAGACCTCCAAAACCTGAAACACTTTTGTTTTTAATCATTTCCCCTTAAGAATATTACTCAACCCACAAAAATGCTGAAATTAATTTCTAAGGTTTTAATACTTTCAAGTCCTTTTTTTATAAACAGTATTATTTGTGTACACAGTACATATTAGTGTGTACATAGATTTCATATGAAATGAGGAAGAAAAACTTTCAATGATTTGCTCAAAAAATAATGCTTTTATATGTATTATATTCTTGGTATTAACAAGTAATTTCTGAGCCTATAAGGTTTTTAAACAGATTTAAGCATGGGAAGAGTGGAAAGTACGTGAATATTACCAGTTGTAGCACCTTAAAAATTAAAATTCTTTTCAACTTTTTTTTTTTACTGCTAACATGAAAGTAATCTTGATTACAGATGAGTATGGCTGCTCAAAAGGTCCATTCTGTTAATACCAGTCCCTAATATTTCTTCATGTTGACAATATATACTTTTAACTCTCGTTCATTTGATTAGTTAATTCTTCTACATCAGTTACTTAATGTTTTTTTTTTTTTGATATAGGAATGTGATCTTGCTATTTCGGCATTTTTATTAACTAGAACCCACTAGATTAGTTGAGTGGCATTTTAGACTAAAACGAGTTAATAAAAGTATATACTGTCTTCTCACCATTTGCATGAATTAAGATGTGGAATATTCAAATTGCATGTTTTTGCTAGTATGTGAACCATGTTTTTTACATCCAGTACTTTGAAAAACAGCTTATAAAAAATCTTTTATTTATTATAATAATAAAGTTGAAGCAAAGAAATATGCTTTTAAATAAGAAATGATACTTAAATATCAATATGAATTGTCAAAATCTGTAGCTGCATACGTACAATGTAAACCAATAACAAAATTAGTAATAAGGTTGTTGTAGAATCTTCAAATACATTATCCAATGTGGATTGCTTTTATTTATAGTATTTCCTGAATTGTAAGCCTTTAACCTAACCTGCAGAGACTAACTTTCTAAGTGCTTGTAAGGTCAAAACAGTCATTTCTATCTAAAGCTCTTTTTAATTCACTTTAAATGTTACTTTAAGTTGAAGTCATGAAAATCAATGAAATAGTAACAATAGCCTTGCCTTTGCATTTGTGATTTTTAATTGTAAGATGGTTGTAGTTATCTTAAAAATTATCTGATAAGTATTATACTTGATGAGACCAAAAACTCATTTTAAATATCAATAAGGTACCTAATATGCATATATGAAGAACTGCTCACTAAAAGTACTAATCTTTAGAAGATTTAATAGTTCTTAGATTCTAAATTTAAGAAATATCATGCATTCAACATCACAAGTTGAAGATTTTAATGAATTGAATAATCTTTAAACAATAGCAGAAAAATAATTGAATAGCACTTTTATTTTGTTTCATATTTACCAAACTTATCTTTATGACTTTGTAATTTGCCACATTTTTACTAAATTCGCCATCAGTAATTTATGAAGTACCTTTTTCTACATCTGTGTCATTTTCACAGGAAAGTTATTGATAGTTTACATGTAAAGTATTATGTTTTTAGATTTTCTCATCTTGAGCTTTAACTTTCTATTAGGTGGTCAAGAAGAATATGTCTTATCTTATGAACCAGTGAATCAACAAGAAGGTTTGTGAAATTTTTTAATGTTTTATAGACTTCTGGAAAAATGTGTATCTAACTAATAGCTCAAAAGAATTTTATATTAGGATTTGACTGTATTTTATGTATACATATACAGAGACACAAGGATACTTCAAAAAGCTCATGGAAGATGAAATTAAAAGATAAGTTTATTTTGATGCAAAAAATATTCTAAAATCCATAAATAATTTGTTCATAATACTCATTCTCCATGAACTTTTCCCTGTATTCATTTCATTTTTTTTTTTTTTATTTTTTTTTTTTTATTTTTTTTTAACAGGCAGAGTGGACAGTGAGAGAGAGACAGAGAGAAAGGTCTTCCTTTGCCGTTGGTTCACCCTCCAATGGCCGCCGCGGCCGGCGCGCTGCGGCCGGCGCACCGCGCTGATCCGATGGCAGGAGCCAGGAGCCAGGTGCTTCTCCTGGTCTCCCATGGGGTGCAGGGCCCAAGCACCTGGGCCATCCTCCACTGCACTCCCTGGCCACAGCAGAGAGCTGGCCTGGAAGAGGGGCAACCGGGACAGAATCCGGTGCCCCGACCGGGACTAGAACCCGGTGTGCCGGCGCCGCTAGGCGGTCCCTGTATTCATTTCAAAATCTTTTGTACACAGTGAACTTTTGATCCCATTGTCAATTAACTGTTTAAAGTACCCTCATATTTATAGAAATTTACTATAAGTATATGTATTTTCTGAAACATTATAATCAAGTCATTTTATATTGGTGTTTTATTTTCTTAGCAGCTTTTTTCCAATATTCATAATAGTATCACTGACATTCCAATAACCTTTCTAAAAATCTTGGAAACATTTTGACCTTTCTCTGTTCCTTATTCTCTTCCAGTTAGGTTACAATCTCAATTTATTCTACTTTGATCATATCTTATGATCTCTTTTCTTTTCTTTTTTAATTTCATTTATCTGAGAGAGCAGGGGAGAGGCAGAAATGTTCTAGATGCTGATCTACTCCCCAAATGGCCACAACTGCCAGGGCTGGACCAGACCAAAGCCAGAAACCAGGAGCCTCTTCCAGGTCTCCCACATGGGTGGCAGGAGCCCAAGCACTTAAGCCATATTCTGCTGCCTTCCCAGGAGCAAAAGCAAGGAGCTGGATCAAAAGTGGAACTGCCAGGACTCAAACAGGCACCCATATGGATGCCAGTGTCACAAGCCGTAGCTTTACCCACTGTACCACAATACCGGCCCCGTCACCTCCTTTGCATCTGTCCTACCACAATATTAAGTCCTGATGCTCACTAGCGAGTCTATTCTTCCAGCATGTTCCCTTGCAGCCCAGTACATAACACTTCTGTTATAGGATCTTTCTGGATCACTACTGTGATTTTATCTCTTCCTATACCCAGTTTGCTTTTTAATACTTTGCTTCCTTAGAATTTCTACTTCAAAAATTGTGTGTACAACACTGTACTTTATATTCTCATTTGTAATGAGATAATTCATAGAAACATCTGCTAAAATGTGCTAAATTTAATTTCTTGGAGTCAAGGTTAAACTGTTAGTGAAAAGTTTATTAAATAGCTAGTTAAACATCTTTGGTTGGGCCGGCGCCGTGGCTCACTTGGCTAATCCTCTGCCTGCGGCACCGGTACCCAGGATTCTAGTCCCGGTTGGGGCTCCAGATTCTGTCCTGGTTGCACCTCTTCCAGTCCAGCTCTCTGCTGTGGCCCGGGAGTGCAGTGGAGGATGGCCCAAGTCCTTGGGCCCTGCACCCGCAGGGGAGACCAGGAGGAGGCAGCTGGCTCCTGGCTTCAGATCAGCACAGCGTGCCGGCCACAGTGCACCGGCCGTAGCAGCCATTTGGGGGGGTGAACCAACGAAAAGGAAGACCTTTCTCTCTGTCTCTGTCCTCTCTCTCTCTCTCACTGTCTGACTCTGCCTGTCCAAAAAAAAAAAAAAAAAAAAACTTTGTTTGATGATACAGTGGTGTGGAGACAGAAAAAAAAAATAAATTCTTCAAAACAATTAAGAATGTTTTTGTTCTCTGATGAAATGAAATACCTTAATTTTCATTGAATGTTTATTCCTTTTAACATGCAATTTATCTTTGTAGTTAATTATACTCGACCAGTGATCATATTGGGACCTATGAAAGACAGGATAAATGATGACTTGATCTCAGAATTTCCTGACAAATTTGGATCCTGTGTTCCTCGTGAGTAACCCAATGAAAAACTCTTATAATTATTGTTTTTATTTTCCTATCACTTTGTGTGACAAAGTAAATATAATTTTTTTTTTTTGTTTTGTTTTGTTTTTTTGACAGGCAGAGTGGACAGTGAGAGAGAGAGACAGAGAGAAAGGTCTTCCTTTGCCGTTGGTTCACCCTCCAATGGCCGCCGCGGCTGGCGCGCTGCGGCCGGCGCACCGCGCTGATCCGATGGCAGGAGCCAGGAGCCAGGTGCTTTTCCTGGTCTCCCATGGGGTGCAGGGCCCAAGCACCTGGGCCATCCTCCACTGCACTCCCTGGCCACAGCAGAGGGCTGGCCTGGAAGAGGGGCAACCAGGACAGAATCCGGCGCCCCGACCGGGACTAGAACCCGGTGTGCCGGCGCCGCTAGGCGGAGGATTAGCCTAGTGAGCCGCGGCGCCGGCCTGTAAATATAATTTTTAACGGTTTATACCTGGGCCGGCGCCGTGGCTCAATAGGCTAATCCTCCGCCTTGCAGCGCCGGCACACCGGGTTCTAGTCCCAGTTGGGGTGCCGGATTCTGTCCCGGTTGCCCCTCTTCCAGGCCAGCTCTCTGCTGTGGCCAGGGAGTGCAGTGGAGGATGGCCCAAGTCCTTGGGCCCTGCACCCGCATGGGAGACCAGGAAAAGCGCCTGGCTCCTGCCTTCGGATCAGCGCAGTGTGCCGGCCACAGCGCGCTGGCCACGGTGGCCACTGGAAGGTGAACACACGACAAAAGGAAGACCTTTCTCTCTGTCTCTCTCTCTCACTGTCCACTCTGCCTGTCAAAAAAAAAATGGTTTATACCTAGTTATTTTATCAGTTACTGCTTCATCCTCCATATTATTGTACTTTTCTAGATTTAAATTAAACTCTGGAACTTTATAAAACAATTATTTCAGTAGAAAATGAGTTTATTATGTTTTTTAATATTAAACACTTCCCTGAGTTCTTTTCTGTTAAAGATACAACTAGACCAAAACGAGATTATGAGGTAGACGGAAGAGATTATCATTTTGTGACTTCAAGAGAACAGATGGAAAAAGATATCCAGGAACATAAATTCATTGAAGCTGGCCAGTATAACAACCACCTGTATGGAACAAGTGTTCAGTCTGTGCGAGAAGTAGCAGAAAAGGTAAGCATCACATGAATGCAGAATATGCTGTTCATCAGATATGCCTTTGACAATATGAAAGAATTACAGAAACTTCTAGTTCTTACTTAAAAGGATACAAGATGGATGATAGATTGATTACTTTTAATTCATTGAACTAAGTAATTTTAGGTGGTTTAGAAAAAGACATACAAGTTTACATACAAGATAAAATAGACCAAAAAAAAAAAAAATGGGAGTAGAAAGAATAGCACAAATCTAAGAGGGGCAGTTGTTATTTTAAGACCTTTTGCTAGAGACAGACCTGTCTTTGGTCCTAGCTTTCCAGCATTTCATGTAATTGAGGAACTAAGATCTGCAGTATCCAACAATAAAAATTATTGAAATGTTCAAGATAAATGTAGTTGCTGCTGGTATTGAGATTAGACAAAAGTTTCTCCTCTGAGTCTTCATTTAAAAGACAATATAGGCCGGCGCCGAGGCTCACTAGGCTAATCCTCCGCCTAGCGGCGCCGGCACACCGGGTTCTAGTCCCGGTCGGGGCACCAGATTCTGTCCCGGTTGCCCCTCTTCCAGGCCAGCTCTCTGCTGTGGCCAGGGAGTACAGTGGAGGATGGCCCAAGTGCTTGGGCCCTGCACCCCATGGGAGACCAGGAAAAGCACCTGGCTCCTGGCTCCTGGCTTTGGATTGGTGCAGTGCGCTGGCCGTAGTGGCCATTTGGGGGGTGAACCAACAGAAGGAAGACCTTTCTCTCTCTGTCTCTCTCCTTCACTAACTCTGCCTGTTAAAAACAAACAAACAAACAAACAAACAAAAAAACACCATATATATATGGTGTTCGATGGTGTGGCATAGCAGATAAAGCCACTGCCTGCAACGCCAGCATCCTATTTAGGTGCTAGTTCAAGTCCTGGCTGCTCCACTGCCAATCCAGCTCCTTGCTGCTGCGCCTGGGAAAGAAATGGAAGATGGCCCAAGTGCTTGGGCCCCTGTACCCACATGGAAGACCCGGAAGAAGCTCCTGGCTTGGATTGGCGCAGCTTCTGCTGTTGCCGCCATTTAGGGAGTGAACCAGTAGATGGAAGTTCTCTCTCTCTCGTGTGTGTATATATATATATATGTGTGTGTGTGTGTGTGTGTGTGTATACATATATATATGTGTGTGTATGTGTATATACACATATATGTGTGTGTGTGTATAATCTGACTTTCAAATAAATACATGTTTTTTAAAAATTACAAAGACAGTATTGGACAGGTGTTGTGGGACAGTAGGTTATGCCACTAGTTGGGGATGCCCACATTCCATACCAGAGTGCCCAGGATCAAGTTCCACCTCCACTTCCAATCCAGCTTCCTGCTGTTGTGCCTGGGAGGCAACAATGATGACTCAAGTACTTGAGTCTCTGGCATTCATGTAGGAAACCCAGATGAAGCTCTGGGCTCCTGGTTTCAACCTGTTGCACCTTGGCTGTTTTGGGCATTTGGAGAGTGAACCAGCATGTGGAAAATCTCTCTCATAGCTCTGCCTGTCAAATAAATAAAAACGAATAAACATTAAAAAAAAGAATCTGACTTGAACAACAATATTAACATTTAAAAAAAAAAACAGGAATTCACAAACAACAGCAATAGACTTTCTGAAAGCATCTTTTGTAGTCATCTGGTGAAATGGTGACACTGGGTTAAAAGTTTTATAGTGAAGCTAAATCAATGTCATAGTGCTGTTTCTTAAATCTTTGGGCCTAGAAAATAAACATTGTATACCTTTAAAACTTAGAGTTTAAGTCTCAATTATGAAATAGCTGTAACAAAACATAAAGCAGTAATAAGTTTCCCATATATAAATGCTACTTTTCTAAAAGAAGTTTGTTCTAATTTAACATTTTTAGAAAAAGTGCATATGTCCCAGAAGTGAAGACAAGGACTTGAGAAAATGGAAATTTTTAGGTAGTTGGGATATAAATGAACATAACTTCCTTTGACAACAGTTGGGCAATACCTAATAAGTGATTCAGAAATTCTACTTATTCATGTCTAGGTATACATATATCCACAGTAGCACCTTATAATGTGAAAAATTGGAATCAACAGAAGGGAATGGATAGTCAACCCTCATTTATTCATGCAGTGGGATATAACAGCCAGAGTGCATAAATTTGTATATCTAGTAGTTAGGTGTATCCACATTGCTAAGTCTCAAAATTATAATAGTGAATTATAAAGTTTGCTTATGTAAATGTTAGAAAGTATAAAACAGCCAATAATAATATATGGATGCTTGTTTGTAAACAAAAACATGCATGAGAATAATACAGCTACTATCTCTTGGTTTCTTTTTAGAAGGGAAGAGAAGGAAATTAAAACCAGCTTTGGAGAATGTTTTATTTCTTGAAAAATAAAATTTTTAATTTCAAAACTCTTAGCCTAGATAAAAGATAGATATTATCCAGACTTCAGATTAGTAATAGGAAAGTAAACAGCAAATCCAAGTAAACTGTTTCATGTGCAAACCTTGTAGAGAGCAAAAGCAATCTCAAGAAAGAAAAAAAAAGAATGGAAGAGATAAGAGGACAGCAAACCTAAGTGGTCTAGTCGGTGAATTTAAGCATGTCAGAAAAGTTATTTAAAGTCAGAATTGAGATTTCCAGATGCCAATTTATGATAAAAGTTTTGCCAGTCCACATAAAATGAGAAGGAGAATAATGGTAGTGAGGTTTTACAAATTTAAACTTACTCAGTTTAGGATATTTACCCATTTTTCTAGGATCTTTTACCTTCTGCTGATCATATATTTTATGAAATTATGGTTATGATGAGAGTAGTTTGGGGTCTTTTTTTAAATGCTCTGTCTTACAAAATTAAAGATCAGCACCCTATATTGGTTGCCATTGAGAGAATACTAATCTTTGAACACCAGGAGTGTGAGAACTGTTTATAACTTTCTGAAATCTTACTTCAGGCTGGCGCCGCGGCTCACTAGGCTAATCCTCCGCCTTGTGGCGCTGGCACACCTGGTTCTAGTCCCTGTCGGGGCACCGGATTCTGTCCCGGTTCCCCCTCTTCCAGGCCAGCTCTCTGCTCTGGCCCGGGAGTGCAGTGGAGGATGGCCCAAGTGCTTGGGCCCTGCACCCCATGGGAGACCAGGAGAAGCACCTGGCTCCTGGCTTCGGATCAGCGCAGTGCGCCGGCCGCAGTGCACCAGCCATGGCGGCCATTGGAGGGTGAACCAACGGCAAAAGGAAGACCTTTCTCTCTGTCTCTCTCTCTCACTGTCCACTCTGCCTGTCCAAAAAAAAAAAAAAAAAAAAAATTCTTACTTCAATAGTGGAAAACTATTTACCCATAAATTTTATATTTTACTTCCCATCTAAAATTTGCTAACAGGATTGACAGATTTGCTTACAGTCAGTGAGTAAGCATACTCTAGTTATTGTGCCTGTTGGAAATGTACCTTTGATGTAAGTGAAGAGAAATGGTTCACTTGGTTTACTGCTTTACTCAATTTTAGGGCAAACACTGTATCCTCGATGTGTCCGGAAACGCCATAAAGAGATTGCAGATTGCACAACTTTACCCGATCTCCATTTTTATTAAACCCAAATCCATGGAAAATATTATGTAAGTGTCAATGCTTAAGTAATAGCCTCTAAATACAAATCCAGTTGTTGTTGTGTATTTCCTGCTCCTGTCTGTTTCTGCATTTGTAAAATGGAGATAAGTGTAGTGTGTATACTCACCTTCTAGGGTGTGGTGAAGATTGGGTAAGCACTATGTGATTAATGCTGTAAGCAGCAGCATTACTGAAGTATAAGATAACATGTATTAGAACTTGAAATGTAAATAGCCACATGTGTGGCCACTGAATTGGGTGGCATAGCTCTAAGGAAACCATTACAAGGATGAAAGAACGCATACCTGTTACTTAACAGAGGATAAAAAATAGAATTGACATAAAAAATTAAGAGCAAATAGAAACAAAGAATGGGTGGGCAAAAAGATAATAGTAGTAAGATATGGTATAAATTAAATATTTCAATAAATAGACTATTGTTGTCTTATTGCTAGACTAAATGCTAGATTAAAAGACAATGACTAGGCCGGCGCCGCGGCTCACTAGGCTAATCCTCCGCCTAGCGGCGCCGGCACACCGGGTTCTAGTCCTGGTCGGGGCGCCGGATTCTGTCCCGGTTGCTCCTCTTCCAGGCCAGCCCTCTGCTGTGGCCAGGGAGTGCAGTGGAGGATGGCCCAGGTGCTTGGGCCCTGCACCCCATGGGAGACCAGGAAAAGCACCTGGCTCCTGGCTCCTGCCATCGGATCAGCGTGGTGCGCTGGCCGCAGCGCGCTGGCCGCGGCGGCCATTGGAGGGTGAACCAACGGCAAAGGAAGACCTTTCTCTCTGTCTCTCTCTCTCTCTGTCCACTCTGCCTGTCAAAAAAAAAAAAAATAAAAAAAAAAGACAATGACTAAAAAGGATTAGCAGAATGGTTGATTAAAAACCAAATTATGGGGCCAGCGCCACGGCTCACTAGGTTAATCCTCCACTTTGCGGTGCCAGCACACAGGGTTCTAGTCCCGGTCAGGGCGCCGGATTCTGTCCCGGTTGCCCCTCTTCCAGGCCAGCTCTCTGCTGTGGCCAGGGAGTGCAGTGGAGGATGGCCCAAATCCTTGGGCCCTGCACCCCCATGGGAGACCAGAAGTACCTGGCTCCTGCTATCGGATCAGCGCGGTGCCCCGGCCGCAGCGCGCCGGCCGCGGCGGCCATTGGAGGGTGAACCAACAGCAAAAGGAAGACCTTTCTCTCTGTCTCTCTCTCTCACTGTCCACTCTGCCTGTCAAAAAATTTAAAAAAAAATTTTTTTTTAATTAAAAACCAAATTATGTGGTTTTCAAAAGAAACACTTGGGTTAGGCATTTGGCACCGCCGTTAAGGTGCTACAGAGGACAGCTACATCTCAAGTTGCAGTCCCTGGTTCAAGTCCTGGCCCTGCTTCTGATTTGACTTTCTGCTAAAGCGTAACTTAGGAGACAGCAGATGATGGCTGAAGTTCTTGGGTGCCTACTATCCACGTGGAAAACCCAGATTGAATTCCTGGTTTCTGGCTTTCATCCTGACTCAGCCCTGGCAGTTCACTAGCCTTGGCTAGTGAACCAGCAGATGAAAAATCTCTCCATCACTGTCTCTGTGTTTCAAATAAAATGAAAATAAATAAAGCAAGCAGGCAAGCAATGGGAAACAGCTTTGTTTAAAAAAAAAAATGATATACAGGCTGGCGCCACAGCTCACTAGGCTAATCCTCCGCCTGCGGCGCCGGCACACCGGGTTCTAGTCCCGGTCGAGGCACCGGATTCTGTACCAGTTGCCCCTCTTCCAGGCCAGCTCTCTGCTGTGGCCCAGGAGTGCAGTGGAGGATGGCCCAAGTGTTTGGGCCCTGCACCCCATGGGAGACCAGGAGAAGTACCTGGCTCCTGCCATTGGATCAGCGCGGTGCGCCGGCCGCAACGCACCAACCGCAGCAGCCATTGCGGGGTGAACCAACGGAAAAAGGAAGACCTTCCTCTCTGTCTCTCTCTCTGCCTGCAAAAAATTTTTAAAAAATAAAATTAAAAAAAATTTTTAAATGATATACCTTAAGTTTTAAGCTATGAAAAGATCAAAAGTAAGTAGAAAAAGATATACCATGACAATGTTAACCAAAAGTATACTGATTTTATATTACTATCAAAATATGCTTTATAAGAAATACTACTATAGATAAAGAGGAATGGTTCTTAAAAGACTCACTCCACAGGAAGCTAGATTATGTTTGCTGCTTAATAGCAGTGTCAAAATATGTAAAGCCCAAATTGACACCTATATAGAGAAAATGAATAATTTAATTTTAATTGAATTTTGTATACAGAGCAAAATAATTGAAAACTTTCTGGATCAGGCATTTGCCACAGCAGTGAAGATGCTGCTTGTGGCAGCCACATCCCATATCAGAATTCCTGGGTTTGAGTACCAGCTGCTCTGAATGCAGCTTCCTGCTGATAGACACCCTAGGACTTGGATCCCTCCCACCACGTGGGAGTCGTGTTTTGAGTTCTAAGCTCCTAGCTTTGTCCTGACCCAGCCCTGTCTTTGGGGAGGGGACCTCTCCCTTTCCCTGCCTTTCAGATAAATGAAAAAATCAAAAAATTTTTAAATGGAAAATGGACTTGAACTCATCACAAAAAGAAGTCTCATTCCTAGAGACACAACAGAAATATTTCCATGTGTATGCCAAAAACATGTACTAGGTTGCTGACAGAAGTACTGCCAAGATAGCTAAAAACTAAACTGCCCATCTGCAGAACACATAAATTAATGATATATTCACCATGACAATATAGTTCCACTATATTGACAATGAGTAATCTCTGACTATACATAAAAGTATGGAAGAGTCTCACAAACAGTTAAAAAAAAAATCTCAAACCCATATACGCTGATTCCAAATGTAATCATTGCTTAGGAAGTTACCCTTTATGTTGGGTTGCTGATTAGAATGAATGCATTTAGATTCCTGGGTACAGATAATGTCCTGTGTCTTGATCTAAGTACTAGTTACACAGGTATATGTACTTTTGTGGGAAAAAAAATCCTATAGCTGAACATTTACTATATTGCTGTTCTGTTTGAAAGTTGTACTCTAAAACAATGTTGAGAAAGATAAAACATCAGAGTAGTCTGTATTTAATAAACACCTTGAGTCTGTCATTAAAGTCTTTCCACAAATGGGACACCAGTCCAAAAGGATTTACTGAATTCAGCCAAAAGGTAAGAGGTAGTGCCAATCTTAAACAGACTTCAGCTAATTCATGAGAATTAATTTGATGCCAAAACCTGATACTGACTTTGTAGGGATAAAAATAGTAAGCTAGTCTAAATCATGAACATAGGTGGAGTACTCCTTAGCAAAATATGAGCGAATTCAATCCAACAGCTTTTTTAATAAGGTAAAATATAGCAACTAAGATGAGTTTATTCCTAGAATGCAAAGCTGCTTTAACATTTAAAAATTAATCAGGAGTGGGTGTTTGGCGTAACAGTTAAGATGCCATTTGGGGAGCCAGTGTTGGGGAGCCAGTTTGGCGCACCAAGTTAAACCACCACCTGTGATGCCAGCTTCTCATACAAGTGACGGTTCTAATCCTGGCTGCTCCACTTGTGATCAAGCTCCCTGCTGATGTACCTGGGAGAGCTGTGGTAAAGGGGTCTAAATGCTTAGTGCCCTGCACCCATGTGGGAGACCCAGATACAGCTCCTGGCTTCTATACGGCCCAGCCCCTGCTGTTGACTCCATTTGGGGAGTGAACCAGCAGATGAAAGATCTCTCTCATTTCTCTGTCCCTCCACCTGTCTTTGTAACTCTGCCTTTCAAATAAATAAATAAATAAATATAAAAAATATCAGGATGAGAATCTTTAGGGAAAAAAAAAAGTGCTGCTTGGGATGCCCATATCCTGTAACAGAGTGTCTAGGGTTGAGTTCCAGCTCTACTTCCAATTCCACCTTCCTGCTAAAGCTCACCCCAAGAGGCAACAGATGATGGCTTTAGTAATCAGGTCCCTGCCACCCAGACATGGTACACCTGGATCCTGGCTTGCACCTAACTCAGCCCCAGCCATTCCAGGCATTTAGGGAGTAAAGCCACAGATGAAAGATCTGTCTCTCACTACTCCCCCACCCCACCTTTCAAATAAATAAATAAATAGTTTAAAAATAAGGATAGAACAATGGAAATTATCAAGTCTGAAGAATAGAAAGAAAAAAATTGGAAAAAAGTGAACAGAGTCTAAGGGGACTTGGGGGATACCACCAAGTTGATCAGTACACACGTGGTTGTACCAGAGAGAAAAGAGGAGAGAGATCATTGTGTCCCCAATTTGATAAAGCATATGAATACATACATCCAAGAAGTTCACTGAACTCCAGGTAAAATAAATTCAGAGATCCACACTGAGGCACAAGTAATAAAACTGTTGGAAGATAAAAAGGAGAGTATTGAAAGTAGCAAGAGAGACGTAACTCATCATATACAAGAAACTTTCCAATAAGATTATCAGCAGATTTCTTACTGAAAAGTTTGGGAAGCCAGAGGGCAGTGTATTGATGTATTCAAACGGAATATACCTGTCAGTCAAGTTCCAGCACCTGCCAAAACTGTACTTCAAAAATGAGGGAGAGGGGGGCCAGCGCCGTGGCTCACTTGGCTAATCCTGCACCTGTGGCACCAGCATCCCATATGGATGCTGGGTTCTAGTCCCGGTTGCTCCTCTTCCAGTCCAGCTCTCTGCTGTGGCCTGGGATGGCAGTGGAGGATGGCCCAAGTGCTTGGGCGCCTGCACCCGCGTGGGAGACCAGGAGGAGGCACCTGGCTCCTGGCTTCAGATCGGCACAGCACTCCAGCCGCGGCAGCCATTTTGGGGGTGAACCAACAGGAGGAAGACCTTTCTGTCTGTCTCTCTCTCTCTCTCACTGTCTAATTCTGCCTGAGGGAGAGGGTCCAGCACTGTGGCAGCATAATAGGCTAAGCCTCTGCCTGTGGCACCGGCATCCCATATGGGTGCCGGTTCGTGTCCTGGCTGCTGCTCTTCCCATCCAGCTCCCTACTAAAATGCCTGGGAAAGCAACCCAAGTGCTTGGGCCCCTGCACCCATGTGGGAGATCTGGAAGAAGCTCCTGGCTCCTGGCTTCCAGTCAGCCTAATTCCAGCTGTTGCAACCATTTGGGGAATGAGCCATCAGATAGAAGACCTTTTTATCTTTCCCTCTCTGTCTGTAACTCTGCCTCTCAAATAAATAAATAAAATATTTTTTAGAAAATAAGGGAGAAATTGAGACATTGTCACGTAAACAAAAGTTAGAAGGAGGGGGTTTTTTTACCACTAGACCTATCCTACAAGAAATACTTAGTGGCACGAGTGGTGTGGCACAGCGGGTTAAAGCCATGGCCTGCAGTGCCAGCATCCCATAAAGGTGCAGATTCGAGTCCTAGTTACTCCACTTCTGATCCAGCTCCCTGCTAGTGCACCTGGGAAAGCAGCGGAGGATGGATTGGGCCCCTGCACTCAGGTGGGAGACCCACATGAAGCTCCTGGCTCCTGGCTTCCACCTTGCCCAGCCCTGGTCGTTGGGGCCATTCAGGGAGTGAACCAGCAGATGGAAGACCTCTCTCTCTGTAACTCTGCCTTTCAAATAAATAAAATAAATCATTTTTTAAAGATCTACTTTATTTATTTGAAGAGTTACAGAGAAAGAGGTAGAGACAGAGAGAAGGTCTTCCATCTTCTGGTTCACTCCCCAGGTGACCCCAACGATCAGGGCTGAGCAAGGTGGAAACCAGGATCTTTTTCCAGGTCTCCCACATGGGTGCAGGGACCCAAAGACTTGGGCCATCTTCTGCTATCCCAGGCCATAGCAAAGAGCTGGATCAGAAGAGGAGCAGTCAGGACTAGAACCAGTCCCATATGGGATGCTGGCGCTTCAGGCCAGAGCTTTAACCTGCTGTGCCCATAGCTCTGGCCCCAAAATAAATCTTTAAAAAAGAAAGAAATAGGGGAATCCTGTAGGGTGAGGCAAAGGGATGCTAGACAGTAACTCTACGAAATATCAAAGTAAGCGTCATACTTGGTGAAATACTGAAAATAGTTCCTCATAAGTTGAGAACAAACACCCATCACCCATCATCTTGCTGTAATAATAATTGCCAATTTAGGATCAGTCTTGTTTCCTCTATCCCCACCTACTTACCCCTGCACTCCAGATTATTTTGAAACAAATGCTAGACATTATAACATTTTACCCATAGTGTGTATTTGAATGACAATAATTTAAAATATTTAAGTATGACTATAATTGTCATATTTAAAATATTTAACAATATTTCCTTGGTATCATCAGATGGCTCAAAATTTCCTGATGGTCTCTAAGTTTTGTGTGTATTTTTTAAATTTATTTGTTATTAGCAAATTCCAAAAAGGGCTGTTCTTTCTTTCCCCTCCAACCCTATTTATCTTCTAAAGAAATCAGGTTGGGGCCAGCATTGTGGTACAGTGGGGAAAGCCATGGCCTGTGATGCCAGCATCTCATATGGTTACTGGTTCATGTCCCAGCTGCCCCACTTCGATCCAGCTCCCTACTCATGTACCTGGGAAAAGCAGTGGAAGGTGATCCAAGTACTTGAATCCTGTCACTCATGTGGGAGACTGGGATGAAGCTCCTGGCTTCTGGCTTTGGCCTGGCTCAGCCCTGGCAGTTGCAGCCACTTGGAGAGAAAACCAGCAAGATGGCTTTCTCTCTCTCCCTCCCTTTCCTCCCTCTCCCTTCCCCCATCCCTTCACCGCCATCCCTGTAACTCTGCCTTTCAAATAAATAAAACTTTAAAAAAAAGAAATCAAGTCATTTCTGCAGTTTTCCCAGAGCTGTATTTTTTAACTGCTTTCTCATGGAGCTGTTTAATATGTTCCTGTGTTCCCTTTATTTTTTATAAATTGGTAGGTAAATAATTTTAATATGAAATTGTCATTATAGTCAAAACTCATAAGTTAGTGCTTAATTTTGTTTCACTGCTTTGATCAGTGCAGAATATGTGAAACCCTTCTGTCATCCCAAGTATGAAGCAGCATATTCAGTGGATGAATCTGTTTTTAGTGATATTAGTATTTTAACAGTCTTTTCTCCTTTGTTGTCTTTTTTCAAATATTATGTGTTAAATACCAATTTCTAAATTTGTTTGCTTTAGGGAAATGAATAAGCGTCTAACAGAAGAACAAGCCAGAAAAACTTTTGAGAGAGCCATGAAACTGGAACAAGAGTTTACTGAACATTTCACAGGTCAGAACCATATAGGACAGTGCCCTCTATGGCAGCATTTTGCTTGGCAGCCACATAAACTAACCCAAATGGATTTGAACTGTGCCCACATCTCCTAGTGCTGTCATTTTCAGATTAAACCTGTGTGGTCTGTGCTTCTGTGCTGTGGGAAATTCATTTAGCCAGAGCAGTAGTGGTGGGAAATATTGAAATTTAGTGTTTAAGACGTTGTTAACTAGGACAGCATGTACAGGAAAAGTCATACTTCACCAAAGAAAAAATAATTTAGGTTGATTTTCTTTTCTGAAACTCTGCTTTTATCCTTTCTAAATTTTAAGTCATTTTTTCCAGCTTTATTGAGGTATAATTGACAAATATGTATATGTCCAAAGTACAGTATGATTTGATATATGTATACATTGTGAATTGATTACCACATTCAAATATACACATCTGGCCAGCATTGTGTAGCAAATTAAACTGCCTGCAACACTGGTATCACATATGGGTGCCAGTTCAAGTCCTGGCTGCTTCACTTCCAGTCCGACTCCCTGCTACCCTGGGAAGGCAAAAGAAGATGGCCTAAGTGCTTGGGCTCCTGCATCTGTATGGAAGACCCAGATGAAGTTCCTAGCTTCCGCTTGACCCAGTCCCAGCCATTGCAGCCAAATGAGAAGTTCTCACGTTCATGCTCTCTCTCTCTTTTCCCCTCCCCCCCCTTAACTCTACCTTTCAAATAAATAAATATTTAATAAAAATATTTTTATGTTATACAACAGAAAAATTAATGAAATGAACAATTTTTACTAAGTAAGTAATACATAAATGGTGACTTCCCGGATGAGTAACTGTTACCGAGATTTGGCTCTGTTTCACCAATAATTGTTATGGCAAAGAGAGACGATTAACAGAAGTTCTAATTTTATCTGTCGTTACAGCTATTGTACAGGGAGATACGCTGGAAGACATTTACAACCAAGTAAAGCAGATCATAGAAGAACAGTCTGGTCCTTACATCTGGGTTCCAGCCAAAGAAAAGTTATGAAGACTGGTGTTGCTCGGCTTCTCTTTCCACAGTCTCGTGTTCTTCGACACTTCTTTGCCTTTCCTCTGGAGTCTGTCTTCAGTGCTCCTTTCCTGTTGAATCATGTCCACTCCTCATGGTCTGCAGTTGCACTTAATTTTGACAAATAGTCTCCTTCAGGTTGCACCATCTGCATTTTTCTATGTCACTGTTGGTTTGTGGCCATTTTTTAAAACTGAAGATGAAATGGCCTGACCAGCTATTAAGGGTTTTGGGAGATGTGGAAATTGTGGTAAAATTCCTTAATGTTTAAGGGAAAGTAACTTTAAGAGATTTTCAGAAAAGCTTTATATACATTCTTTTCAAATTTCAATATAAATGAAAGAAAAGTGGTTTTAATCAGTGATTTCATAGACTTTGAGCAACTATGCACGCTTAACTTTAATAGCATGGTTTGGCCAATGTGTTAGCTATCAAGTTCTTTTCCCAGTTGACTTCTGTTATCAGAGCAGTTATTTCCCTATAGACATAAGAAAAAAAATGTGGTTTTTTTATTTCAAAATTAATGTCTGAGTTAACTTTCATAACTTCACAAGGGATATTCATTTTTCATAAGTGTTCTCAAAGTTTTGTTGTTCGAGGGTTTTTTCCCAGTACATTTATTAGAAATAACAATATTCAAACATTTTTAATCTACTTGTGCAACACTATTTTTAGTGTCTTACAAAAGTTGTTCACATATAACAATCATCACGTTTTCTGAATTGAGGACACGTTTAGGTGCTAGGGGAGCTCACCTTTCACACAGAAGGTTGAGAAAAATCTTAAGACGTAACTACAGACATTACAGTGGTGATGTAGTAATTACTATGGCAATGGAAAAGAAATCCAGTTCATAGCCTAAAACTATAAATGTATTCTTAAGGGTCAGATTTTAATGAATATTTTACCCACAATAACTGCCTATTTTGTTATAATAAAATATATAAATAAATATATATAAAATTTTCTTTAAACTCTGTAACTATGGGAATTATTTTCTTACATAGTTGCACACACACACATATATATATTTAAAATACATTTTTTCTTTTGCCACCTACTCCTTTTTGTTTGATTTTTAAATTAAGTATTAATTGATTAGACTTATCTTTAATCATGTGAACTGAAAACCAGAGTATGGTGGTTGTGAGGAGAAAACCTCTGGGGAAATTAGATTACAAGTAAAAGTGTGGGCATGTTCTCCTCTTTTCTACAGAAGTTTGCAAAAGATTCCTGGGTTGGTTGGTTGGTTGTTTTTGTCATTGTTCTTGTCATTAAGTTTGATTTTTGGTTCTTTGCCTTTCTTTCTAGTTCTCCTGTGAAGCAAAAGCTCCATTTATGTGCGAGTTTTCCCCCTTAGACACCGTTTGTCTTACCCAGTTGCTCTGTTCTAGAATTCACACATATTCACGGTGAGCAGTTTTAGTGAAAGGTAGAAGTGACTTCAGAAATCAGTTTCTCCAGTCCTTTCTATCAATAACATCATTTGGCTTCCCATTGCTCTTCGGCATTGTTTATCAAACGTGTTTTTGACAGCCTCCTTGTTACAGTTTCTTAAAAAAATGAGTACTGGTTTGTAAAGAATTATTAACATTATCCATTCCATTTATGAGAAAGAGGAGAACAGCTAATAAACTTTATTGTAAAATCCATATGTTAAAGTGTCTTGAATTTTGAAAGAAATTATTTTATAAGCTAACATTTTCTTGAAACAATTTAGACATCACAAAATTGATAAATTGAAGGCAACCTAATAAAAATCTCTTAAGCAAGTTTTGGAACTGAGTATGTTATCACATTGGAATATATATATTTCATATAATTATATATAACAGCTGTTAGAATTTAAGTAGGCTGTTACCCAACATAAATACTAGGAAAAAATTGTAAAACCTCAAGAGCTTAAAACCTTCCAGCAACACCCCAGCATAACCCATGTGAAGTATTCACTGGTCGTATGTTATAAAATATGCAAACAGTTATAAAATGATGCCATTATGTATTAAAATCTATATTACATTGCTTTCTGGATGTCCTCATTAATCATTTTCTTTTTGTAGGAAAATACTGTTAACTTTCTAGATTATACAGAATTAATTATGAAATTACTGAGGACTGTGCATTAGCCACTTCAGTATATATCATTTCTTGTAAGAAGGAGGAAGGGGCCAGCCACTGTGATGTAGCAGGGCTAAAACCACTGCCTGCAGTGCTGGCATCCCACGTGGGCGCCAGTTCAAGTCCTGGCTGCTCCACCTCCGACTCAGCTCTCTGCTATGGCCTGGGGATGAGAGAGGTGCTAAAGCTGATGGCTATGAACCACCAGCGCAACGATCTGTTTAGCAGAGCTGTGGCATAGCGGGTTAAGCCGCCACCTGCAGTGCCGGCATCCCGTGTGGGCGCTGGTTCAAATCCTGCCTGCTCCACTTCCAATCCATATCTCTGCTATGGCCTGAGAAAGCAGAAGATGGCCCAAGTCCTTGGGCCCCTGCACCCATGTGGGAGACCCAGAAGAAATTCCTGGTTCCTGGCTTTGGATCGGCCCAGCTCCTGCCGTTGCGGCCATTTGGGAAGTAAACCAGCAGATAAAAAGATCTCTCTCTCTCTCTGCCTCTGCCTTTCAAATAAATAAATCCTTAAAAAACAAAAACAATTAGACTTTAATAGCGACAAATGGAAAGTCTTATTTGTGGTGGTTAAGAAAAATTGGGGTACAGTTAAAGCATTTTAAATGTAGCATACTGTGAAATATTCAGTCTTTCCCTTTGTGTGTAGTTGTCCATCAGTATCCACAGTCCACAGGGGATTGGTTCCATGACAGACCCCCGCCCCCAAGTAGATACCAAACTCTGGATGCTCAAGTCCCTTATATGAGGAAACTTCAAAAGTCCACGCAAAATTCACATTACTTTTCCATGAACTTTTTTTCAAAGACAACTCCCATCTGCTGGTTCATGTGCCCAGATGCCTGCTCTGGCCAGGGATGAGCAAGAAGTCATTCGTGTTGGTGGCAGGAACCCAGTAACTTGATGTCATCACTGCTGCCTCCTGGAGTCAGCATAGCAGGAAACCCGAGTCAGGAGGCAGAGATGGGACTCAAACACAGGTCCCCAGTGTGGACACAGGCATTTCAACCGGTCTCCTGACCACTGGACTAAGCGCTCACCCCTCCATCAACTTACTGAAGCTTTTTGTAAAATGGCATAATATTTACATTTAACCTATGCACCCTCCCATATATCTTAAATCATCTCTACTTATAAAACCTGTTGCAGGCCGGTGCTGTGGCTCAATAGGCTAATCCTCCGCCTTGTGGCACCGGCACACTGGGTTCTAGTCCCAGTTGGGGCGCCGAATTCTGTCCCAGTTGCCCCTCTTCCAGGCCAGCTCTCTGCTATGGCCCGGGAGTGCAGTGGAGGATGGCCAAGTGCTTGGGCCCCGCACCCGCATGGGAGAGCAGGAGAAGCACCTGGCTCCTGCCTTCGGATCAGCGCAATGCGCCGGCCGCGGCGGCCATTGGAGGATGAACCAACGGCAAAGGAAGACCTTTCTCTCTCTCTCTCTCTCTCTCTCTCTCTCTCTCTCTCTCTCTCTCTCACTCTCCACTCTGCCTGTCAAAAAAAAAAAAAAAAAAAACCCTGATGCAATATAAATGCCTAGGCATCCGTGGATTTTGGTACCGCTGGGGGCCCTGGAACCAGCCTCTCAGGGGTCCAGAGACACAGCTGCAGTGTGAACAACAAACTGACAGCAAGCCATCGGGCGAAGGCAGGATAGTGCCTTCCCACATATTAGAGTGCCATCAATAGACACAGCCTTGATCTTTTTAAGAAAATCTTGTTTAAGGCTGGCATTGTGCAGCAGGTTAAGCCACCGCCTGCAATGTCTGCATCCCACATGGCAGCAAGTTCAAGTCTAGACCACTCCACTTCCCATCCAGCTCCCTGCTAATATGCCTGGGGAGACAGCGGATGAAGTGCTTGGACCCCGGCCGCCCATGTGGGAGACCCAGATGGAGTTCCAGGCTCCTGGCTTTGTCCTGGACCAGTAGAAGGAAGATCCGCCCTTCTCCGCATTCTCTGTCTCTGCCACTCTTGCAGATAAATAAATCTGTTCTTTGAAATGAAACTCATTACTGAATTAATGATACAAATTTTCTGGAAGTTTTAAATGGGTGATGTAATCTTCCTTCTTTGGATGTCTACAATTAGGCTCATTTACCTCACAGATGGGCTAGCTAAAGAGAAGGCGGTGCGCATGGGAACCCCATATGTTGCACACTGTGAGTCCCTACCAAAAGGTTTTCTAAATCTTGTGAGAGTCGTTGCATCAAAAATATCTACTTCCCCAGTGGTATTTAAGACGAGAGAATACATCTTTTGAGGATAGATCCCTCTGAAACTTCAGCGCACAGTTCAGATCAGTTAACTGACACATCCGCCCTTGCTAGGCGGAAGCGTCGCTACGCTGACCTTACCACTGATTTTCTACCAGTGCCCCAGGTGGGGGCGCAGGCTTTGTGACGCGTGCTCGGGCACCTGAGCTTTGACCATCGGGTGTGGACACTTCCCTCTCGCCCTCCCTCCTGCTCGTCACACTGGTTATGCTCTCCTCTCCCTGCTGTCCCTCCAACCCAGGTCCCTGCCCACCACCACCACCAGGCCCAGGTATTGCTGTGGCCCCTTCCAAATCCCCTCCCAGCCTCGGCTGCTCCGGCAGACTTCTCGGGGACCCTCTGATTAAGCTGCCTGTCTCCTCTCTGTGGCTGGGAAAGTGCCTGCCACACCACTTCCACACCTGCAGCTTGTCACCACCCCTGACTGCTGTGTCCCTCTTCCTCCTGGAGCCCCTGATGCCTGACGCCTGCAGTGTTCGCCAGGTGCCCACTCATCCCTGAGCGTCTGCTTCCCGGGCCACGTTCACCTGGCCTGGTGGCTCAGGACAGGGGCCACCTCTCCTTGGTTCTGCTGCCTGGCAAAGCACCCAGGGCAGGTGCTCCTGCACTGGTGCACCTGCCCACGGCGGGTGGCGTGGGAAAGGCCCGGCTGCTGTGGTGGGAGGGAGCGGGTAGAGGAGGAGTGGGAGGGGATAAAAGGTCTGCCTATAAATCTCTACATCGGCCAAGTTTTTGTCTAATTATGGTCCTTTCCTTTCTGATTCCTGGCATAATCGCCTCCCTTCCTGAGCCCCTCTGTGGTTTTCTCTTTTTGTATCGGTTTCTCTTCCTTGCGCATGTGTGTTTTCATTCTAAGTCAGCTGAAAGGCTGCCTGGAAGGAGCTGGGGTATAAATAACTTCCCTGCCGGCCTGGCTGACAGAGCCAGATATAGTGGGGGGGGGGGGGGGGGGCTGCCTCACCCCGGCTCAGCCGCACTGCTCCCGGCTCGGCTTCAACCCCCCGGCCCGCAACACTGCTGCAGGTGCCTCCGTGGCTGTCAAGCTCGCGCGCCTCCTGTCGGCTCTGAACCTTTAGGATCCTCTTCTCCACCTGAAAACCCACCGCCAGGAAACCTCAAGGGAAAGAAACACCCATGGTTCCATCACCGAAATAATAAACGGAGCGCAGGGTGAGGGGCCCAGCCAGAGCCCTCGTCGGTCCTGCCTCGTCCCAGCCTCAGGACAGACACACCGCCTCTCCTTCCCCATCACCCTCTCTGCCCCTCCTGACAGCTTCTCACGTCTCCAGGGAGCCCCCCCAACACACTTCTGCTATATCTTTCTTTTTTTAAGTTTATTTATTAGAAAGAGAGACAGAAAAAGGAAATCTGCCATCTGCTGGTTCACTCTCCAAATGCCTGCAAACAGCCAGGACTGGGCCAGGCCAGGCCAGGAACCTGGAACTCCATCCAGGTCTCCCACATGACTGGCAGGGGCCCAAGTACTTTGGCCATCCTCTGCTGCTTTGCTAGGAGCATTAGCAGGACGTTGGACCAGAAGCAGAGGAGCCAGACCTTGAACCAAGGCACCTTGAACCAGGCACTCTGACGCGAGCCATGAGCCACCGTGCCCGCTCCTCCCGCTCTGTGTCTTCAGTCCCCGTCGTGGGCTGTTCACACTCTTGGCTATGTGAGCAAATCTCCCCTCTTGAATAAAAACTTCCTCTTGGCCTTGAGCTCCCTGGAAACAAGCCCTGTCCTCACTGACAGCCTGAGAGAGATCCTCCATCCTCCACCCTCATCTCCGTTCGCTTATGAGCAGTAACTCCTTGGTGAGGGCTCTATTCCACACGTGGTGGAATGGGGGGCGCTGGCGCACTCCCCCAGCCTCTGGGAGCTCCACGTCCAGCTCGAGCCTCTGCCCTGGCCGCGCACGCCGCTGCAGCCCACAGGACCCAGGCTCTGAGCGCTTCCGACACACCCCGCTAACGCTATGCTATCCGTGCTGGATAACCTGCGGCACCCCAGGAGGGCTCGTGCTGGAACTCGCGCTCAGCGTGCTGGGCCCTGCGTCGAGCGCAGCGAAGAGGGAGCCCTCAGCAGGCCTGCCCCTCGGCCAGCTTCGCGGGAAAACTGCTCTGGGAGACGCCAGAGCTTCCCCTCACCAAACTGGCTCACTCTGTCTACCCTGTTCTCAACACGAGACTCGGCGTGTCGTGGGTCCGCAACAGGGGTAAGAAAGTAATCTCTTTAAAAAAAGAGAGAGAGAGAGAGAGA